ATGGCGACCTCCTTCTTCACGAATTCCCTCCTCTCGGCGGAGAGGGGTCTCCTTCGTTGTTGTACTGCTTTTGCCGAAGGGTCCACCGAGAGGCAGTGGGTGATGACCCTTCGGCTGATTCCCGGCATGTCCTCCGGCCCCCATGCAAAGACAGTGGAGTAGGCGCGGAGGGCGTCGGTGATACCGGTCTTCAAATCTTCAGGGAGCCGGGCTCCAATCTTCACGACTCTCTCCGGCTGGGCCTGATCGAGCGCGAAGTCTTCTACGTCCTCGGCTGGTTCAGCCCTCGGCCTTTTTTCTTCTTGGTCGATGGTTCCGGTGATGGTGTCAATACGGAATTCCGTCTTGCTTACCTTCTTAGTGACATGAAGATAGCAGGTGCGGGCAATTTTCTGGTTCCCCCGGGAGTAGCCAATTCCCCCCTCGACGGGAAACTTGAGGCAGAGATGCCTCATGGAGATGATAGCTTCGAGGTCCTCGAGGGCTGGCCGGCCGAGGATGATGTTGTGGGCGCAGTCAATGTTGACGACGACGAACTCCACCTCGAGTTGGGCTCTATGGAGCCCGTCGCCGAAGATCACCGGGAGGGTTATTACCCCTTCGGAATCAATAGTGTCGCCGGTGAAGCCGGCAAGAGGGGTCTTAATGGGCCGAAGGGACCCCCTCTCCAGATGCAGCTCTCTGAAGGTGCTGAGGTACATTACATTGACGGAGCTGCCCGTGTCAATGTAAGTTCGGTGAATAATGGTGTCGTTTATCTCCGTCCGAATCACCAAGGCATCCCTGTGAGGAGAAGAAGTAGGAGGGAGATCTGCGTTGGTAAAGGTGATGGGTTCCTCCCTCAGTCGCTTTACCGGGGGCATATGAGTGACTTCCCCCACGTAAAGCGATTGAGCCCACTTCTTTCGTTGGCTGGTGGAATCGCCCCCTGTATTGCCACCGGTGATCATGAGGATGTGGCGTTTTTTCTCCTGGTAGTGGGGGTATTCCTCCTCCTCTTCTTCCAAGTTCCCAATCTCCCTTTTCTTGCCGAGGGGGATGGTATTCGGGTTTACCCAAGCGTTCACCTTCGTGTGGTGCCCTCGGGGAGGCCCCTGATGAGAAGGTCCCTCCTGCCGAGGGCTCTGAACAAATTGGGATAGGTGCCCTGCTTGTATTAACCTCTCGATGGCCGTCTTTAGCTGATGGCAGTCATCGGTCCTGTGCCCCTGGTGCCGATGGAAGCGACAGTAGGGGAACTGAGGGTTGATAGCGTGTACCTCCGGGGGTGCGCGAGAGTCGCGCTCAACGAGGCCCCTCTCCTCGGCAAAATCGAGGATGATGCTGACGGGGTGCGTCAATGGCGTCCGAGGGCGGTCCAGGAGAATGGGCTGGGCCCAAGTCTTAGGGTTGCTCTTATAACCTCCCCCGGGCTTGGCTTGGCCTTGCCGAGGGCGGTCATCAGAGGGTCCCGAAGCCTTGGGGTGATTTGAAGGAGCCCCCGGCCCTCGGTTATGCCTGTTGTCAGCCCTCGGGGGCTGCTGGTCCGGATGTTGGTGATACTTCTCCACCTCCTCGGCCTCAGCATATCGGTCCCCCCGCTGCAAAGCCCTTATGTAGTCGCGGGGGGGTTCAATGATGAGGCTCCTTGAAAAGTTACCGGTGCGGAGGACGGTTTGTAGGAGGGCCAGGAGGGTCCCGTCATCAGCACCGTCGACCTTGTCGGCCTCCGTCCTCCAGCGCTCTAGGAAGTCCCGAAGGGTCTCATCCCTCTTCTGGCGTATTGTTAGGAGGTGGGAGAAGTGCTTCCTTGTGCGACGCCTCCCGGCAAATTGCGTCAAGAACCGCTGGGCGAGTTCTTGCCATGAATCAATACAGCCCTCGGGCAGCCTGTTGAACCATTCGTATGCCGGCCCCTCTAAGGTGGAGAGGAACCAACGACACAAATATTCGTCCGACGCCCCCACCATCATCATGCTGTTCTGGTACTTGCTGTAATGTTCCTGGGGGGTCCGTTTTTCCGTTGTAGGGCTGTATATGTTGCCCTCGGTATTTTTCCGGGATCCGGGCCACCAATACCCTTGGAGTAAATGGCGTCCGAGTCCGGAGCTGGATGACGGGTTCCCCGGAGCCCTCGGCCACCTTCTTCTGTAACTCCTCCATTTTGGCCATCATGGTCTCGTATTTGAGATCTGAATGAGGGGCGGAGGTGGTGGCGTGAGCTTTGTTGGACTCCATCTCGTCAAGCCGGCGTTGGAGGGCCGCAATAATCTCGTCCCGGGGGTCCTTCGGGAGGGTCTCCGCCCCCTGCGAACGAACCCGGGCCGAGTGGGCCTGGTTGATTTGGTGCCGAGCATCATCGGCATGAAGGGGTGCCTTGCCTTTGTCCCGAGGGGGACGCTCCTCGTCTGCCCTCGAAACGGATCCCCCGCTTTCCTGTGGCCTTTGGAGTGCTTTCCCCCCGAGGCGGTCTTGGACCCCTCGGCGGTCTGGCCCTCCTCCGAGCCGGTTGAGGGCAGAAGTACGGGGCCTTTCCCTGTTGTCATTATGGCGGTCCCGGGACTGAACTTCCTGGGAGGACGTATCTTGGGCCACCACCCCCTCGTCGTTCCTCACCCGAGGGGTGGGATTTCCGAAGGAGTGCGGCAGAGGGGGACATATGATATTTTCCCCGACCTGAGGGTGAGCTGGAGCTAGGGTGCTGAAGGCACCCGGGTTCTGGGTGAGCGTCTGGATGAAGGCGGAGAGCGCCGATTGTACGTCGATGGTGAGAACCGGAGGGCTGACTTGGTCATCGCTCCGGTTTTTCTTCTTGGCCTCGATGCCGAGGCGGGCATCGGGGGCATTTTGTTGGATCTGAAGGCGTAGGTCGACAGCCACCTATTCCAGCCCAGCGATGACACCGCCCTCGGGAGCCCTGTGAGAGGCTTCGGGGGCGTTGACGTCACCGAGGGCCAGGTTCTTGTCTTCTACGTTCTTTGAGTTGGCACATGTTGTCCTCACCATTTTGATAGAGGGCTAGTGTTTTGTGTTTGGTCGAGGGGGAGGGTTTCTTACTCGATTGTTCGACCTCTCAACGAGAGCACCAAATGATGGATAGTCTACCCGGGGGTATATATCCGAAGGGTTATTACGGGGAATAACTTAGAGAGAAGTCAGAACAAGTGAGTAAAAGTAGAGAGAGAGTGTATTCAGTATGAATGCCGTTTTCAGCGTGGTTACAAATGAGGAAATGGGGTGCTATTTATAGTAGCAATAAATGCCGGACAGGGACACGTGTCAAGCGCTCATTGGCCGAGGGGTCACCTCAACTGGTTGGCGCTGGCAGCCGCATGTGGCCGCATTTAATGCGGCTGTTGGATGGGACGTCTGTGCAGGGTACGGTGATCTGCACGCATGTGAAGCGGATATCTTGTCGGGTGAGATGCCTTCGGCTATAGAGCAATGGCCGAGGGCTCCTCCAACCGATGGCACTCTGGTGCCGAGGGCTCACAGTGCCGAGGGCTACTGTTTTCGCCGTTTTCTCCCAGTTTCTTAATTTGCTTGAGAAACCCGTTCTGTGAGAATTTGGAGCCTTCGGCCAGGGGGGCGAAGGCACCCCTGGCGCGTTGTGCGGACTGCTTGGTACTCCTGGCGCTGTGATTTGGGCCTGTTGGGCCTGTTGGGCCTTCGCTGGAGTAGTAGGAGTCTGTGGGCCGGGGGTTCCCGGGCCATATACTCCATCACTGATATACCCAAAGATTACTATAGCTTTAAAAAATTCAGTGAGATATTAAGTGGTAATCTCCGTACTGATGTTTTAGTTGGTAAGTGTTTATGTCAAATTACAAGCCTCCTTTTTTTACCACATAATAAAAAAGTAAACATTACTATCTAACCTTAACACTTGCATTTTTTTAACAAATAGATGTAATTGGAGCTTTCCATGATATTGCGCGTTCTGACATTAGTACTCCTTTGAAAAAGGTAGCATTTTGGATGAAAGATCTCAGGTGATGTCATTCACTGTCGTTGTTTTTCATACTGCATTAATTAAGTATCTTTACAACTTGAAAAGATTTCTTTATTAATTAATTAAATGTATTATGCTATAATGTAGTGGTGAAATGATCATGTGTACTTTATGGCAAGACTATGCTTCAAAGTTCTTGGAGTTTCATGAGAATCATAAATCTGAGCTAATTGTTATCATATTAACACAAGCAAAAATTAAAGAACCTGAAGGTAAGGTCGAATTGTTACATTACATTACATTGTATTATATTATATTGATGATGTTATGATTTATTTACTTTGTTGAAATGTTAGGAATAAATCCCATGTTCATTCAAAACAGTAAGTTCGGATCTAAATTGCTCATTAATGAGGACATTGTGGATATTCAGAAATTCAAAGACAGGTTCATTGTGCTTATTGGTGTTATCACACTTATGATTATGTAGTAAATGTACTTCATTTTTTCTATTTTAATTGTTAAATATTTAATCCATGTTTGGAATAATGGCAGCTATTGCTCAGTTCAAGCAAAAGAAAGACCCTGTCAGAGTCAAAGTTAACTTGCGTCACAATGGGCACAATTGCAAAGTTTGTAGTTGGTAAAAGTGGCTGGAGCTATGAAGCTTGCTCTGGGTGCACTAAAAAGGCTGAACCACACATTAAATCCTTCACATGTAAATGTGGAAAATTTAATGACAAGACTACTCTAAGGTTAATTTAATTTCTGCTAACTTTTATGCCAAAAGATACTATATATTATGAGAAAACATTGCTAATGTCTTATATTTGTAAATAGATATAGATTAGAAGTCATGGTCTATAATAATGAAAACTGCACTAAGTTTGTGTTGTGGGATCAAGAATGTATCCAAATCATTGGGAGGACAACTAACGAGCTTAAAAATGAAATGCTTCAAGTACGAAACTATTATTAGCTGTTTTGTAAATCTGAAAGTTTTTACCATGGCAACATAATTTGTTTTTATTTTTTTACTATTTCACTTATTAAGCAAGGAGAAGACGATCCACTGTCTTATCCGGAACCACTGGATGAATTGCTGGGAAGGACTATGGCATTTAGAGTGAAGATGCAGCCAACTTACAATGCTGCATCAGTACTTAAGGTGTCTGAGGATGCAGGGATCATAAAGTTCATAACAGAGCAACTTCGTATGTACGAGGTATATGATATTTAAAATGTCATTTTAAATTTTCAACACTATCTAAGATATTTATTTTCGTAAAAAAATTGTTCCACTTTTCTAACTTAAAAAATATCATATTTAACAATGTGTCCTGAACCTTCATTAAAAACGAATATAGATACCATATACATTTCATTTCCTTCATGTAAATAAATCATCTTCACTTTTATGGCTTTTTTATATTATTGATTTAATATATTGGAAAGCTTGAATCAAAACTCTAATGGCATGCAAATGTTGTGATCTCTCTGATACCATTGTTGTTCTTAAAAATAAATATTTAACAATTTTATTTAATTAGGAAAAGACCAATCACGCTAATGGAGAGCATGTTCTTGATGACCATGTTCAATGTGAAAGTGTAAGTATTGTACTACACTTACATAATTATCATTCATAGTTATTTGAAACTCCTATGCTTAGCTATGCAGTTGTGATCCTATACTTTTAACCCTCTTTTCAAAAAGCCTAAAATGTTATTTTCCCTCAAACCTGGCAATAATTAATAATTGCAGGCCCCGAAAAGATACTTTTCTTGCAAACAACAAATCTTCTACACACTTTAAATTAAAAATGTTATTTTATTTGATCTCTGAAGAGGGCTTTATCAAACAGCAACCTGGACACTCAACAATGTTTCGACTTTGAAACCACAATGTTTTCAAGTTTCAAACAAAAAATATGTTTGGAAAACACGTGGTTCTCAAATCATAAAACATGTTGCTTGATATATTTGGTAACATATGACTTATGCTTCATTGTTGTTGACATATTTATACAGCAATCTGTGTCCGCTACAGGGGATTATGACCCCAACGACTCATCACCTTCTGTTACACCTTGCAAAAGATCAATGGAGAAGCAGTTTGATGACCTCCAACCACAAGATAAAGCTACACAGTTTTCAGCAACAAAGATTGAAAAGCGTATAAAAAAGGAGTAAAAAATTAAGTTCAATGGATGGGCATGGGAACATTATGAGATTACCTACTGCTTTCTTCTTAGATTTAGTCTTTCTTTTATAGTTGGTTGACAATAAATTATGAAGTAACACTATTTTTTAAATTGATTTTTTATACTTTTACTTATACCTTGATTTTTTATATGCACTACAAAAGAGAGTAAAATGGGCAGCTGGAGAAATCGTTTAATACTACGTTTAATTGAAAATAGATGGTATAAATTCTGATGTTAAAAATTCCATCCAATTGGAGAAAGATCTTTATGAATTAAAAATATGGATCCACAAACTAGCAGTAATTATTTTCCAATGTGATTTAATTACATCTTCGATCTACATCATGTTTATGATCTAAAAATGGTCCAAGGATGACATATATTATGTTTTTGAATCGTTATATTGTTAAATATCCAGGTATTTAGAGGTAGTGAGTAAGAGGTCTCCTCGATTGGGTGAATTATTAAAACCATAAGTGATGAGTCAAAATAACTGTAAATACATTCAGACTATTGTCGTAGAAATACAAAAAATCCAACACAAAAATTTAGACTCAGTGCGCTTAATTGTATATGAATAAAACTGTACAATAACATTAATTTTCTCAAGCCGATTTGTTTAAGTGTAATGCTATGTACTCCCTCTGTCCCGAAAAAGATTTACCAAATTGACTTTTCATGGTCAGTTACCATCAACTTTGATTAATGATATCTTTTAATACGTATTTAATTTGAACTATGATTGTATGTTTTTTAAAAATACAATTTTATTGAAAAAATTACATAATATATAAAATTCTAAGTTCTGTTAGAATGCATTCAACATTTTAAAATTTCATTTGTGTAATACTTACACACACCCCTTCACTTTAAAAAAAAAAAACACCCCTTCAAAGTTTCATACGGAGTACATTTAAATTATTTCCCCTTTAATCAATCAATTAGTGGGTTCTATCAATTTTCTTTCCTTTACACAAATCTTAAACAAAGGTTTTTACGATATTACTCTTCATGCCGGTTAAATGCGACAAAGTTTTGAAGGACGAAGTTAAATTAAGAACCAGTTTGGTAGCCTTTTTTGGCTTATCTGGCTTATCAGTCAGCTTTTTCACCAAACACATAATTAAGAACTTTCCTCTTTTTTTGGCTTATTAGGAGTTACTTTTCTGGTTATATTGGCTGAAGTTACTCTAGAGTATCATTTTAACTACTTTTTCATATAATCTTTTATTTTATTTATAATAACAAATATTTTAAATATAATTACTTTATAAATTAACAGAATCAACCAAAACAGCCACTTCACCCAGAACTTCATAAATTTCAGTAGAATCATCCAATTCAGCCAATTTTAGTACTACCTCCGTTCCTATTTTATCTTCCAACCCACTTTGGCACACAATTTAAGAAAAGTGAGTATTGTGTGGTGGAGAGTTGTGCAGAGGAGAGAGAAATGTGTAAGAAATGTTGTGAACCACAAATTCTTTACCAAAAAGGGAAAGAGGAAATTTAATTGGAACAGACGAAAAAGAAAAGTTGGAAGTTTATTTAGGAACGGAGAGAGTATTACCAAACGGGCTCTAAAAATACAAACTTAACAATTTTATAAACATGTCGGTGTTGTAAACAACATATCGAACATAATTTTAAAAACATAAAGAATCAAATTAAAAAATTGAACATACAATTTAAAAAACGTAACAACTGCACGTGTAATTCTTAAAAAAATAAACAATAAAATGAAAAGTGAAGATGGTGGATATGAAAAGTAGTAAATAAAAACCGGCTAACCCATTAAATAGAGTTGGAGCCATAATAGGAAACATATGGAACTTAATTGAACGTCAATTAGACTTTGCCTATACTCAAAGTATTAGCCTCATGAAACCTAGCAGCCGTCATATACTTGAAGTGCACTATACTATGCACTGCACACCACTCATACATATGACATTGAATTGCCCTGTACTATTCACACAGCAGCCGCCAACATGTCTTCACACTTTTCTACACATGGGATTTCTCTTTATTGAAGGGAGCAAGTATGTACTTTTTTATTTTGCAAACATGTAATAATTTAAATTGATGAATTAGGAATATGAGCAGTTGGAACTGTATGGTCCGATAAATGTCTAATCTACATGTATTTTATAAATAGACAAGTGTGATCTGGTCTGGTGTGGTCTGGTTTAATCTGATCTGGTCTGGGACTGAAACTGGTCCAAATAAAAATAACCTTAATTGTAAATCTCATATTGGCCATCAAAGTTTTATACATAGTAATTCACAATATTTGGACATTCACTTTAAATTGATGAATTAGGGATATGAGCAGTTGGCACAGTATGGTCTGGTAAATGTCTAATCTACGTGTATTTTATAAATAAACAAGTGTGATCTGGTCTGGCGTGGTCTGATTTAATCTGATCTGGTCTGAGACTGAAACTGGTCCAAATAAAAATAACCTTAATTGTAAATCTCATATTGGCCATCAAAGTTTTATAATTCGCAGTATTTGGATATTCACTTACGATCTTCTTCTTCCTTTAATAAAATTCGTTAGTTTTATTTTTGCTTTCTTTTTTTGAGTCAATAAACTAACTTAATCGATCTATATAAATTTGGAAGATTTCATTTGAGGTTTTAGAATATATAATTTTATTTTAATTAATAACTTCTTATTAATAACAAGTTAAATGCTATCCTTCGTATCCCATTAATTGCAACATTGGAATATATACACTATTCATATACTTTACTTTGGTTACATTTTATTTATTGATGTATGTGAATTATTTTGTTTTAAAAATATTGTTAAGTTCGTCTCATTACTAAGTTTTATAATCTGATCTTTATTTTATTTTTGCTAATACATAATTAAATATAATGACGGTCAAAGTTGTGCATTGACAAACGTGAAATGTTGACTATTGCAACTAAAAAGAGACGGAAAAAGTATATATTTACAATTTTTTCATTCAAAGGAAAAAGGGAATACAAATAGTTTTCAAATGTGAAAAATCTTTAGTGGGTGTCTAAAAAAGATAATAAAACCGTTCAATTTCATTCATTTGAACCTTAATGTCCATTTAACCATATTGTCCAATTTGATCCATAAGAAACCTTAGTGTCCAATATGAGATTCACTTATAACCGTAATGTCCAATTCACAAAAATACTTTTCAAAATAAAAGTAAAGCATTAATAAAAATGGAAAAAGTATTTAATACAATTTTCCTACTTTTGCCATCAAATACTACACTCCGTTCTTGAAATTAAATTTAAACTTCAATATTATTTACATTACTGCAGACACTTCTTTCGTTGAAAATTATTGAAATTTAGTCTTCTTAATCTCTTATATGTGTCCATCTCAGTGCAATAAGAAAAAATGGATGCGTCAGAAGCACGTCGCAAAAGAAAAACCATTCTGCAGGAAAAAAAGACATCTAGGCTGAGAAATGAAGAGCAACATAAAGGTATAAAGAGAAATTTATATTCTCATTGAATACTTTTTCATATCTTTATCTTTTCATTTTGTTTCAATGCAGAAGCAAGTGGTGTTACAAGGGGATCCATAAGTAGTAACACATTACTGGACTACGCAAGCTCTTCCCTCATTAGAAGGTAAATCATTAATCAATTATCATCAATACAGAGGCATGTAAATATTTTAATACTATGATGGTTAATTGTTCATAACATAAATACTCAAAACATTACAAGGAACGAGGCAGCAAGATCACGTCTCAAAAGGAGATATATTCTAGATAACAAACGGAGAGGTAAATTCATAAACATGACTCAAATCACATGCGAAAGTCCTACTTTGAACTATCTGCCAATAATATATATTACAATGTTGCATATCATTTACATTTTAATCATTTTAACTTTTAAGGTTTCCTTACAAACAACGGTATCCAAGAGTCTTCCCAAGATGTAGATACCAAAGGCAAAAGAATTGTAGGAACACCAAATGAAAACATCCTACTCAGTAGTGCTACAAGTAAAGCATTATTACACATCTTTATCATAAAATTTATTTTATTTAACGATATCCTATGACAATTTATGGCTTACTATTTTTTAACTTTACAGTTGCGTACTCCAATAGTCCTCTTCTGCACACAAGTGTGGATGCACATACATTGGCCAGTTCAACAACCAATTATCATCCACTCTCTAACATCACAAATTTCATTTTAAATGGGAGGTACTTCATAACACAAATACACAACTTCTAAGACTTAGGGAATATTAACTAATCACTTTTTTTGTTAATCTTACATTTCACAGTGTGAACAACCAATTCACTGAATGGGATGCGGCAAAAGAAGCACGTTCTAAAAGAAGATCTTTCTTACAAGAGAAGCATGGATGCCAATTTCTAAGTGGGTGTCAACATAAAGGCATACACAATCAACTGCCAAATACTGGTATTATATTTGATAGTGTATGGTGTGGAACTCAAATAACATAAATACATTTATATCATATAAAAACTAATTATATGGATTCCAACATATAATAATACCAATGTATACTTTTGAACACATGTTTGTATATGATTATAAACTGGGCATATTTTGGAAATACTACTTTTCATCTATCAAACAAGATCCAGCCGTAAATATTATAAAAAACTCTTTTTAAATTGTATATCTTTATACATGTCAATCATATTTATTAATTTTTAAATATTTTTAGCTTTTGATACAACATGGACTCTTCGAGATCATCATTCTGATACAAATGTTGATGCGAATGAAGTAACCGGCACCACGATAAATTTAATCTCAAGTGGTCAGTACATCAACACACAATTAAGTGTGATTCAAGATCAATCAAAAAGAAAAAGAAGAGCCATTCATGCTGATTCTATAGGTGTGAATCTAATGACCAAATTCTCAGAGGAGGCTCTAATTTTGTACAATGAACTTGATATGCATAATCCTTGCAATGCAACTCCTTCATCATCACGCCACGGCACACTTTATACAAACCAAAACTATGTTCTAAATTCAAGTCATAGTGTGAGCATACGTGAAACATATGGCCCACAAGGAAGTGAACAAGTTCATTCTGATAGTGATGTTGATCAATTTGAAGGTAAATGATAACTTATTATCAATATAAATAAAACCACAATGATTGTATATGCACATTGAAACTTCTTTTCAAACAGGTTTAGCTCCCGATGATGACACGAGTTCAGACGAGGAGTCACCAGCTACTCATGAAAACACTACAGAATTTGATTTCACTCAAGGTAACAATAATTAAATAATTCAGTACAATTTAAATCATATTAATCATTGTGTATTCCTTATGATAAATTTTTATTCATTTCTAGGATACTTTGATATTGGAGATCCCCTTATTGAGTGTGACAAATGCCAGGCATACATGTGGTATCAAGAAAGATCAAATAAATATAAAGACACCACGCTACCTAAGTTTAATCTTTGTTGTGGGAGGGGGAAAGTTCAATTGCCACTACTCAAGGACCCACATGTGCTTCTTCAGCATCTTTTATTTGACAATGATGTTGATAGCAAAAACTATCAACAACATATTAGAGCGTATAATATGATGTTTGCATTCACATCGCCTGGTGCTAAAATTGACAAGTCAGTTAACGATGATCGAGGCCCGCCTACGTTCAAAATACAGGGCCAAACATGCCATCGAGTGGGAAGCATGTTACCTATGCCAGGTCAACCTCCAAAGTTTGCCCAATTATACATATATGATACTGAGCATGAGATACAAAATAGGATTCGAGGAATAAGGTTAGCATGTGCATTAATTTTATCATGGAACACTAAATAAAAATTTATTAAATTATTATTTCTAATTATATGTTATTGTGCAATTGTAGAAACCCAAATGACATAGATGATCAGATTGTGGGCAAATTATCAGCCATGCTACATGAATACAATGTGCATGCAAAATCCTTTAGAATGGCTAAGGAAAGATTGCAAGATGCACCTGTGCAGGATCTGCGGTTAAAGTTGATTTCTGACAGAGTTAGTGATGGCCGATTATATAACTTGCCTACGGTTTCAGAAGTTGCTGCTCTTATTGTTGGAGATGTTAACACTTCATCAAAAAGAGATATTATAATGGAGACCCGAAGTCGTACACTTCAACGAATAAGTGAGCTGCATACTAGCTATTTGAGTTATCAGTATCCCCTTTTATTTCCTTATGGAGAGGATGGATACAGGCATGACGTGCTTCATAGAGATACAGGTAATTCTAATAGTTCTAAAAGAAACCATCTTACCATAAGAGAGTGGCTTTGTTTTAGGCTACAAACAAGGAAAAATGAGGCGCTAACATTGTTGAGATCAAGAAGATTATTTCAGCAGTTCGTAGTTGATGGCTATACTATGCTTGAGTCAGAGAGGTTATCTTTTATCAGGAGAAACCAAAAAAAGCTAAGAGTTGATAAATACAGTAACCTCAGTCAAACAAATCACAACTTACAATGTCCAGGATCTGAAAAGGGGAAAAGAATTGTACTACCATCGACATTTGTAGGAAGTCGTCGCTACATGGATCAACTCTACTTTGATGGTATGGCAATTTGCGCTTTTGTTGGCTTTCCTGATTTCTTTATCACGTTCACTTGCAATCCCAACTGGCCTGAGATTCAGAGAGTACTTGCACCATTAAACTTGAAGCCGCATGACCGTCCTGATATTGTTGCAAGGGTCTTCAGGATAAAGTTTGAAGAGTTATTAACAGATTAAAGGAAAAGGCATATCTTCGGAAAAGTTCTTGCATGTAAGTTTTATATATGAATATATTACATATTTCTTATTTACACTACACATTTACTGGTGCAATTCATTTATTCTATTTTTTTCTACAAATTTCTTTCAGATATGCACACAATTGAGTTCCAAAAAAGAGGATTGCCCCATGGGCACATACTCATTTTTTTGCATCCTTCGAACAAGTACCCAACTGCCAATGATATTGATAAGATTATTTCAGCAGAGATACCTGATGAAGAGACCGAGAAAGAATTGTACAACCTGGTCAAATCTCACATGATTCATGGTCCATGCGGTTTAGCGAACCCTTCATCACCGTGCATGCAGGATGGGAAGTGCAACAAGTATTATCCTAAGCAATTCCAGGGAAGTTGGGTTTAGATTGGTTTGCTCAGTTTAAGTGTGATTTGATTTTGTTTATTTAGGTTTCTTCTGATTTAATATGGACAAATGAAGTATATGGTGTTACATGATTTTATTTGCTATCGAAGTCTTGGCAGGAGTGGCTTGCTTTATTTGGTTTATTATGATATGTTTAAGTCTAATCTGATCAGGTCTAAATCACTTAAGTCTGATATAGAAATACATATAATACAAACACCCTAATTGTAATAATTAAACTAAATCTATAAATATACATAGCCACTATTTTACTAGAGTTACTAACAATAAATTTTAATATTTTTTATGTACTCAATTATTTAGAATATTATCATTTAGATCGTAAGAAACATGTTAATTAAATTCTATCGTCCTAAATCCTAATAGTCTCATACATTTGCTAATGAATGATAAAAAAATTAAACTAAAATATTACGAAGAAATAGTCATATAGGGGCTATAATATTCATTTTAAGTACGGAGGTCTAGCCTCATCGAAAGTAAATCAAGACTTATACATGGTCACACTTTAGAGTAATACTACAAATTAACACCGATTTTGAATTTTAACAACAAGTGCAATTTATACAAAATAAAGAAACAACACCACCTTTTTTCATTATTATCTATTAAACTTACTCCACCAAGGTCGTACATGACATTAGCAGTGCAAAGAGATATTAAGTTAAGATAATTGTCATCACTTTTAATTAGAAATATATAATATTTACAATTTTTTCAGGCATCAACGACGCTTGATGAAGATGGTTATCCTATTTATAGGAGAAGAGCCGATGGAAAGAAAATCGAAAAAAATGATTGTATCTTAGACAATCGTCATGTTGTGCCTTATAATCCAAAATTGTTGTTAAAGTACCAAGCGCATATCAACATGGAATGGTGTAATCAAAGCACTTCAATAAAATACTTATTCAAGTATATCAACAAAGGATATGACCGGATAACAGCAGTTATTGTTCCAGCACACAATGATGTGTCACCCCAAAATGAGAATATTGATGAGATCAAGCAATATCTTGATTGCAGGTATGTCTCACCATGTGAGGCCTGTTGGAGGATTTTTTCTTTTCCGATTCATGGTAGATCTCCAGCCGTTGAAAGACTTTTCTTTCACCTTCCCAATGAGCAATCTGTGTTCTTTAGTGACAATGATGACCTTGAGTCTGTGCTCACAAGAAAAATTGTTAAAGAATCAATGTTTACATCTTGGATGCAAGCAAACAAAATCTATCCGGAAGGAAAAGATTTGACATATGCAAAGTTCGTTTCTCGATTTGTGTATGTAGCTAGCAAGAGGTGTTGGAAGCCAAGAACAAAGGGTTACACTATTGGTAGACTCATCTGGGTACCTCCAACAACAGGTGAACTATTCTATTTAAGAATGATGCTCACTGTAACAAAAGGGCCACGTTGTTATGAGGATATTAGGACCGTTGCCAACATTCAATATCCGAGCTTTAGAGAAGCGTGTTTTGCGGCGGGATTGCTTGGTGATGATAAAGAATACATTGGAGCATTAAAAGAAGTTAAAGACTGGGCATCAGGACACTACTTGAGAAAATTATTTGTAACTCTGCTATTATCATGCCCTGTGAGCAGACCCGAGCATGTATGGGAACAAACTTGGCAGTGGTTGGCAGATGGAATTTTGTATCAACAGCGAAGGCTCTCAATCATCCCAGGTATACAAATCAATTAAAAATTAGATTTACACCTATCATTTGTATCATGACAAGTTATTCATGGCGTTTACCCTACCAACAAAATTATAAGATTTGTCATAAAAAGTATTACCCTAAATTCAATTCACCTTATATTAGAATTCACATAGAGTACATATGATTAGTTTACCAGATCTTTCTTACCCTTTTTAGATTTTCACTAATTATATAATTTAAAATATTACTAAATGATGAAATTAAATATTTACTAATACTATAAATAAACATTATTTTCTATTTACCCCAAACAACTTTTCTTACCTTAAGTATTAAAATTACATCACGTATCAAGTAACATATAAAAATAAAATATATTTTTAAATTAATACATTGATATTTTTTATTTCATAAATCAACATAATCAAATAAAACTATATCATAATTTTAATTTTGTGCATATCTCATTTGTCATTCATTTGCATTGTAGTAAAAGATGAAATTAATTACTTCTTATTACCATAAACAAACAGTATTTCCTGATTACCTCAAACAGCTTTTCTTACATTCAGTATTAAAATTAGTTGACATATCAATTAACATATAAAAATAAAATATATTTTTATATCAATATATTGAAATTTTTTATTTCATAAATTAACATATTCAAATAAAACTATTTCATAATTTTAATTTCATGCGTATCTCATTGGTCATTCATTTGCATTGTTGTGACAAAATAAATTATTTACGATAAAGACATAATGGCAGTGGACACATACACATGAACATCTTCTTATAATTACTGATATAATTGTGTTTATTACATTTATAGATTTACAGCTTAGTGATCAAGAGTTGCAAAATTTAACTCTTGTGGAGCTTGAGAAATTGATGCAAAAAAAGAGAAAAAGTCTAAAAGACTTTCCCTCAATACCATATCCAAATGGATATATCACGGAACAACTAGGAAATAGGCTTATATATGCAGAACGTGAGTATGATACATCCAAGTTGCGTGAGGAGTTTCAAAGTTTGTATGCTTCTCTTACCGGTAAGACAACTACAAATAATATGATTTATAAGTCATATTAAATGGTTTTGAGTGTCAAGAGAAAAATGATTTCATTCATACATTTTGATGCTAATATTGCAGATGAACAAAAAGCCATATTTGACACAATAATGGAAGCTGTGACTAACCAAAAAGGCGGGGTATACTTTTTATATGGTTATTATGGTGGTACAGGAAAAACATTTATGTGGAGGACACTAGCTTCTGCCTTACGTTCTCAACGTCATATCGTTTTAACTGTCGCATCCACTGGTATAGCTTCTCTACTCTTACCTGGAGGCAGAACTGCACACTCTAAGTTTTCAATCCCAGTTCCTACTTTGGAGAACTCTACATGCAATATACATCAAGGGAGTGAACTTGCAGAGCTATTGAAACAAACTAAATTGATAATATGGGATGAAGCAACAATGGCTCATAAATTTTGTTTTGAAGCATTAGACAGAAGCCTAAGTGACATCATTAATAATGATGGTGATTCTAATTCACCATTTGGAGGAAGAGTGATTGTCTTTGGAGGAGACTTTAGACAAACTTTACCCGTTATTCCTGGAGGCAGCCGTTCAGACATCGTTAATGCTACAATAAATTCTTCATATCTATGGGAAGACTGTCAGGTATTAAACTCACTTTTTAATATCATAACCAATATGTTTAATTTTGCGATACTTTAGAAAACACTAATTATCACTTTAGAAGTTTTTTCTTGGAATAATTACTTTATAAGTTATGATAATCAAATATAAGTATTTTTGTGTTTATTCATAGGTATTGTCTCTTACTAAAAATATGCGACTCCAAAATAGTTTGGATATGACAAGTGCTACTGAGCTCAAAGAATTTTCAAAATGGATATTGGATGTGGGGGATGGAAAAATATTAGAGCCAAATGATGGTTATGCAGAAATAAAAATTCCAGATGAATTCTTGATTAAAGAATTTGATGATCCAATAGATGCAATAATCCGAAGCACATATCCTAACTTGATGGAGCAATACAAAAATGAGGAATTCCTCAAGGGTAGAGCTATCTTAGCATCGACTATTGAAATTGTCGATAAAATTAACGACTATGTTCTTTCCTTGCTCCCAGGTAATATTATACAAATGCTACTTTGCTTATTTACTGACACAATAAAATCTTAAGCAAATTTAATATTAAAATTACGTTCATTGAAATTTTATAACTACTGGTGAAGACAGAGAATATTTAAGTTGCGATTCTGTAGACAAATCAGATGTAGTCGAAGCAGAAGCATTTGAAGCGTTGACACCAGAGTTTCTAAATTCCTTGAGAACATCAGGTCTCCCAAATCATAGGATACGACTTAAGGTTGGGACTCCAGTAATGTTGTTAAGAAATATAGACCAGTCAGAAGGACTATGTAATGGAACTAGATTGATTGTCACCAGACTGAGAAATCATGTCATTGGAGCAAGAATCATGTCTGAAAGCTATGGTGGAGATGAGATTTACATACCTCGAATGTGTATGTATCCTTCTCAATCACCATGGCCTTTTAAACTTATCAGAAGACAATTTCCTATAATGGTCTCATATGCAATGACAATCAATAAATCTCAAGGACAGTCACTGGAAAGAGTTGGATTATACCTGCCTAGACCTGTTTTTAGTCATGGACAATTGTATGTGGCATTATCCAGAGTTCAGAGCAAGCATGGATTGAAAATTTTAATACATGATAAGGATGGAAAATCATTAGACACTACTATGAATGTTGTGTTCAAAGAGGTTTTTCAAAATCTCTAACATGTAAGTTTAATATCTAACTTTTATTATTTATTTTATTAACTTAATTTAACTTTATGGTATTGACTTATTGTACTCGCTTTTAAGAATTATCCCAATTTTTTTAAATTAATTTGCTTTTCTAATTAATTATATCATGATTACAAATGTATCCATCGATTATTTCCCGTGCGTGTGCACGGGTACTGAACTAGTGCATTATTAAAATTAATGCCTACATATAAATTATAATTTGCGCATTATTCTCTCGTGCATCCCACGCTAGTATGACTAGTATATATACACACACATTCAATAAAATTAAAGTAAAAACCACACACTAGATAAGATGAATAAAAATAAAAAATTGTAATCAGCTTCGCCGCTTTCGAGGCCGTTTGACAACCCTCATTTTAAGCTTATCAGGCTTATTAACCAACTTTTTTACCAAACACGTAAACTTTGCTTTCGCGCGCTGAATTGTGTAATAAGCCGAAAAAGTAAGGTTGGAGTTACTTTTCTGGCTGTATTGGCTGAAGTTACTGTAGATGATCATTTTAGCTATTTTTACATATAATTTTTTCTTTATTTTATTAATAGAATATATTTTAAAAATATTTTTTTCTTGTATCAGCAGAATCAGCCAATGCATCCACTTCAGCCAGAACTTCATAAATTTCAGGAGAATCAGCCAAAACAGCCGATTTTCGTGCTGCCAAACGGGCTCTTCATTTATAACAAATTTAAATATGTGATTTGGTCAAATTAATAAATAAATGACAAAGATCTTGTTGCTAATTGTAGGTGACATTCTCCTTTGATGTACGTGTCTCTTTGTTGATGTGTCTCGAGAGATACGTCACTGCAAAAAAACAAGGTGTCACGGATTTTGTCACGGAACTTAGTTCAAAAAATTTGTGACAAAGTATTTTTGTCATGAACTTTGTCACGGCTTTATCTGTGACAATCGTGACGTTACAATACAGTTGTCACGGAATCGTTTCTGTGACGAGGTTTGTCACAGGCTTTGTCACGGCTTCTATCTGTGACAAAACAAGGCACTAGAGCAATGCCGGTTCTTATTTGTCACGGATTTTGTCACAGATCAGACCGTGACAGAGTGTCCGGAATTAAAAAAAATGGCCGGAGTAAATTGCCAGTCACCGGGGCCTGGTTGTCACGGATTTTATCCTTGACAAAGTTTTGTCACGGATTTTGTCAAGGATTTTTCCGTGACAAACGAGAACATTCTTCAAAGAACATTCTTCAAATATTTTTCATGTACAATAATAAATACTCCGTAAAACTTAATCAAAGTAAAGTACATGAAGAGTGTGTAAATTCCAATGTTGCAAACTAATGATAAATAAAGATATACCTCGTGATAAGTTGAGATGGATAAGACCTACAGTACAATGTGATGCACTTATTATTATTATTAGTACCAAAACAAATTAACCCTAATTATTATTTCTTGGAAGAAATAGAAATCAAAGTGTGGTGAATGATGTTATATATCCATCAATAGCTTGCTAGCCGCCCAAAGCTTTCAAACCCTCATAGAATATGTTGGTAAAACAGTGCATTTGTGTAACGGGCAATACCACGCCCACTTCGAGTCCACCACCTTCATGGTCCTTGGCTGCACCAAGAGAAATGGCCCCGCTCAAATCAGTAGAAGTAAATTCATGCCTCTTAGGCTTCCCCCATCCAAAATCCAGCCCATAATAGTCAAACTTGGGCGAGCCAGCTACACTCAAAGTTCGACCAAAGTTGAACTTGGAAATAACGGCAGGCCTGTCACGAGCACCTTTCAACACTCCCTCCTTTTCAGTATTGTATAATAAGCTGCGAATGCTCTCTCCTATCCCCTCAGCTGCCTTTCTCACCCCTTCATCTCCTATAAGGTCTTTTTCTCTTATGCTAGCTAGACATGGTACAACACAGTTGCCAAAGTAGTTTTTAGGCAATGGAGGGTCCAAACGTCCCCGGCAATCAGCCGCGCACAGAAAATTCTCCATTTCTTCCAACTCCCCGTCATTTTCGTCTTCCTTGTACGTCTGCCTTCTTGATCTCACCAGACAACTCCATGTGTATGAGCAAGTCACCGTAAATGTCGAAACATGCAACGAATCACGCCCTCGCTTGAGGATGTGATTCTTAAGTCGTTGAATGTCGTCTCGCGTCACGACAAAAGTGGACCTCACCTTGTCAGTGGTACGTGGAAGGCGATGGGCATTATGTGTTTCCTCAAAGTTGACGTTTTTCACATAGTCCCAATAAATCGTTGTCAGCTCCTTATGATCTTTGAAGAATGTTCTCTCGTAATCCGGTACGAATTGAGGTGGCGCGTCGTCTTTGGGACGGTTAGAGAAGAAAGCCCAAGCCTTCATGAATCCGAAGATGCTACTCCCATCGCACACTGCATGGTGTTTAGTCACACCTATGCATATCCTGACATCGGGAAATAGTGTTATTTGTAACGCCAACAATGGGATTGCCAATGACCCATCTGATGCTCGTGAAGTCGGGAGTAGTCTTGAGGTGAGTTGATTGAAAAGCATTGAACTTCTTGCATCATTCGACACAAAGTGGTTAAAATGGATGGGGTTCCTTGAGTCGAACTCTGCGATAACCAACGGAACAGTGTCACCCTTGGTGTAACAAACTTCTGGTATGTTTGTCTTGTCGGGTGAGACGACCAATCTACCTGCTAAGGGGCTGTACTGTTGTAGGCTTTGGGATAAGGAATTTTTCATATGGGGAATTAGGGAGTCCAAAAACTCGGTTCTTCCCATCGGGTGGTGATAGAATATGAGTCGAGTCATTGGTGGGCATGGCAGCCACTCCACGTCGAAAAATGTTAGGGGAAGGGAGGTTCCGGCGATCTTTTCCGGCGGTGGTGACACCGGAATTTGGTCTAATACGATGACCGATTGGGATAAGGCCATGGAGTGAAATATTTTTCGATGTTGGCTGGTGGTTTCAAGTTTGGAATGGTCTTTAAATACTACTCGTACGTATTATTATACGGAGTAGGATATAGTCTAATCTAGGCGTACTTTGTGCATTGAATTGAATTTTTGTAGTCACCTTCTCACTTGGTCCAAAAGATGAAATCTCCCGGGAGCCCTACCTGACCCGACAGAATGATGGGAAGTTAATCACGGTGACTCTGTCAACACAATGAAAATAGACGTTATACATGTGAGGACTACAAATTCAGCCTTATTTTATGAGGGTGACGTGTACCCTTCCCACCTTCTCACAAAAGTGTTTTATCACAAAAGTGTTTGGGTAGCTGTAATCAATTAACATGGAACTAAAAGTCGGGGGCCTAGTACAAAGGTGGTTGGCATATGTCGGCGTCAAGTGTAAAATTGGGGTTGCCCATAGCCCCGCATGTAAATGATTATAAATCAAACAAATACTTCATAATACTTCTTCTCGTACCATTTACACTCTTCCCTTTATTTTGTTTGTGTACACAAAGAAACATAGACAAAATGATGTCTTCTACTTAACGAATTGCATGTGTGCATAGACAAAATAGGAGGTGGCTACAAAAGTAGGTACAAAAGTGGGTACAAACAGTTTTTTTTATAATATCCATGTATGAGTTAAATGTAAACTCGCTCATATGAAAATAGTGTTTAGACTCTTAATTTCTGCATCTCAGTATCGTCAATAAAATACATTCACCATATTTGTTTACATATCAATTTAGTTAAACATTAATTAAATTATTATAAGTATTTTTTTCTATTAAATTTTTTCTCTAAATAATTATGAAAAAATACACATTTCGGTTTTAATAAAGAATAAAACGATTTCATGTAATACTTAGTTATTTATTGAGGCTGCATGAATTAAAAATTTATGTTTCGTATTTTCTTGGGGTCAAGAAAACTCCAAGAGTTAAAATTTTAAAAACAAATACAATTTATATATGTAATATTGGTGTCATTTGAAAGATCATAAAGTTACGAATTTTGATATATATTTTGAAAATTTTGGAGTAAAAAAAGTTGCACCAATTTCAAAAAATTGGGGTATTATGACGAAAGAATGACATCAGCATGATGTCATCTAAATCAAGAGCAAACCTGTGGGCTGGGCCGGTTCCTTCTTTTTCTTTTTCTTTTATTTTTTTCTTTACCCAATCCTCGTACTCCTCTCAACCCACCTTCTAAAAATACACTCTTTCGTCCCCTTTTCCACTTTTAACCCCTCTTTTAGCACACTACTGTACTTCATTAGGAGTCCAAAATTTCCAATTTTAACATTTTGGACTCGTAATCTTACTCACTACAAATGCCTAAGAGAAGCAACCGAGTCATTCTTGGTGTGCTTCTATTTGTGTGGTTCTCAAAAGATCATTCATAAATTAATTGCATTATTTATTATGAATTGCTTTTATAAACCACGTAAACTAGGGGTACAAATTGTGTACACAAAAATGGGATACGCCTAGGTTTTATAAGACAAAAAATTGGTTCACAAGTTTTTTAAGAGCGCGCAAATTATGACCACAAATTTGTGCACATATTTAGGATATTTTTACATACATTGTTTTCAATCTCGGAATAGATCAGACCAGATCAGATTTGGAAAATTATAAAATACACAGAGATCAGACATTTACTAGACCAGATCATCCGTCCAGCCTCTGCCATTTGGGACGATTCCTGATGGAATTTTTTGGTGAAGTTTTTTGAGAATGCTTTTCATGAAGTGTTGATTATGTCCACCAAAGTTCAGCTACAAATTCAATAGAAAAAAGCAGTCAAATAATATTTTGAAGATAATTGCTCTCAAATATACATATAAAAAGTAGTTATTTTCAAAACTTTATTTGACTCATTTTGCGATTGAACTTTTAGCATAAACTTTTAGTGGACATTTCGATGTCACACCCGTAATTACCCTTTATGACTATAATACACATTTTGGAAAACATAGAGGTGATCTCGAGGCTCAATATGAATACGCACAAATAATTGGGAGTTTATTACATTTAATGAACTAACGAGACACAACATAGCTTATGATGTTGGAAGATTGAGCCGATACTCATAACCCAAATGAAGGCCATTGATGTCGAAATTTGGATACAACAAGAACAACATCCAATCCTTAATCCCAAAAGAAATTGGGGTCGACTAAGATGAATCAATCTATGATATCCATGATATCAAGATTTGAATAATGATTTTAATTATTATATTTGTATATAACTTATAAATTTTAGACTTTTATGAAAATTTCATTGGTCGAAATTGATTATCATTGATCAAAAAATTAAATTTGGTGAACATTTTCAGGACATAGGAATTATAAGACTAATGTTCTAAGAAGCTAAATTTTGTGAATTTCAAGCTGCTCCACAATAATGAAGTTCCAAGTCAAAATTACTTTCAATTGCATGAGCCTTCTGAACATACAACAACATTCCGTTTGAGTCGAAGCAGTTTCTAAGTAGCTCTTCATTGCGTGGTAGGTTTACGGGGCTAACCCGGTTCCCTCTTATGAAGAGTCTTACCCTACCAAACAAAAAACAACTAAAATCACGAAAAAAATAGGAAAACAAAGGGAAAAGATATTACTGTAGTTTTGCTGCGATTGTGTCCTTTTGTACAGGGCTTCTGGTTATTGAATAATCACGGCGAGGCAAATCCTTCGGACACTGAGGGGGTTGATTTATATTCTTCTCGTGCACTTTGAAATTGTATTGTGTTTGGACGAAGTGTTGAGAGGTGTTAGTCAAAATGTTAACAAGTGTTGGTTAAGGAATTGAACATAAATGTAAGTATTAAGTATCAATTAACCTCGCTTGGAAGTAGGGATGGACCGGTTCCAGTTCGGGCCCGATTCGAGCCTGGGCCCGGCCGGGCCTCGGTTCATGAAGGGGAGGCCCGGAACCGGCCCGGGTAACTCCCGAGTCCGGGGCGGGCCGGGCCTCGGTTCTAATTTTTGTTTTTTTTGGGCTTTTCCTAGTTAACCCCCAACCCTCCCCCTCACCCCCAAACCAACCCTAACCACCTCAAATGGCCCAAAATACCCAGCCCAACCCAAAAACTTAAAAAAAATCAAAAAAAAAATGACCCGGCCTGGACCCGAACCGGTCGGGCCGGTTCACCTTTTGAAGGACCCGAGCCCGAACCGCCATCCCACCGAGTCGGGTGGCCCAAACCGGCCAACCAACCGGTTCACCGGGCCGGTCCGGGCCCACACAGTAGTGGGCTGGTCCGGTTTCGGGCTGGTTGGCCTGGCCCGAGTCCACTCCTGTTTGGAAGAGTTAAAAAATGGAGTGTTAGTAAAAAACGTATTTTCACATTCATATATAATAATTGCATGTGTTGTCTGAATCAACCAAATCGTAGTTGCTGAATTCCCTAAATAGGAGCAAAACATAGGCAAAATGCAAAAATAGGAGTATCATGTTTTGAATAGGAGTAACTTTAGTGTTTGGACAAGTATACCCCTACCCAAACCCCAACAACTTTTAATTAAATGTTTAATTCACAATAAATTTGAAAAAAATTCAAAAAATCGTAGAAAAATAATTAATTTTTTTTTAAAATATTAATAAAATAAAGGGAAAACTATCAAATAAGCTCCCGTACTATACCAAAAAAGTTGATTAGGCCCTCGTACTTTACAAACACTCAATTAAGTCCTCGAACTATTAAAAAACGTTCAATTACGCCCTTTTGGTGGGTAAGTAATCGATTTCCCGGTTAAACGACGACGATGGCGACGATGTGCTCGAACCCCAGCAACGGCGGCTTCCGGGAAACAAGTTACATTTAACCGGGAAACCGGTTACTTACCGACCGAAATGGCTTAATTGAACGTTTTTAATAGTTCGAGAACTTAATTGAGTGTTTGTAAAGTACGAGGGCCTAATCGACCTTTTCGGTATAGTACGAGGGCATATTTGATAGTTTTCCCTAAAATAAAAAATTTAAAAAAAAAATAATTTTTTTATTTTTTAAAAAAATTAATAAAAAATAGTAAAACTCCATAAAAAAATTAAAAAAATATGGATGCCTTTCCCACAACTTGTAATACCTCCCTGCACCACCACCTCCGGGCGGTGAAAAAAAATCAATTTTTCCTAAAAACTGCCTTTTTTCTGAAAATGCCGAAAACATGCCATATTTCTCTTTGCGAATGTCAACATTTTCATTGTTTTCTGCCATAAATATGGCATTCGTAATAAATTTGGCATTTTTTCCCCTGGTGACTGGAGGTGGTGGTGCTGAGGCGGCAGAGGCGGCGGTGAATTTTATTTTATTTTTTTGAGTTTTTTATTTTTTTTAATTTTTTTTATATATTTTTATTTTTTGAAAAATAAATAAATAAATAAATTATTATTATCGAATAAGTCATAAATTAGCTAGGTTAGGATTAAATAAGTCATATTTTAGAATTAACTAGGTTAGGGATATTAAGGGTACAAAATTAATGTTTACTCCTATTGAAGGAAGTTTTAAGTTTTACTCCTATTTGTGCAATTATGTTTATATTTACTCCTATATTGGGCAATTTCTATTTCTGTAATTCATTTCAACCCAACAAATATAGTGGTTATATATAGACAAATATTTATGATGGATTACAGGTTTGAGGTAGCACAAGATTATGCAGATGATGATGCAAAGATTGGGATTAATGCAGGTTTAATGGATTAAACAAACTTAATGCTGTAATACGTAATATATAACTTTAAAAAAATTGATTTGAAATATGCATTTCCAAACTTGACAAAATTGCCTCTGATTTTGAATTTTGGTTTGACCGTGTATAATTCAATTTTGAACTCATACGTATTATATAAAATTACTATAGTGTTCATATACGTCGTATATTACTAAGGAGTTCATATACGTAGTATATTACTACGAGGGGCGGAGTCAGGACACTTGGCCGAACTGAGCCGGTACAAAGAATATTTTTAGAAAA